TAATGAAGCACTCCAATGCAGTTTCCTAAATAATGATGCATGTTAAGTTGGTAAATATATCCAAGCCCAGAGCACACGGGAATTTCAAGATTTCTACCACGTGCTTGACTGGGTTCTGCTTCTGACTCAAAATGGCCTCTTCCAAGTGAATTTTTAGACAGAGTTCCTTGAGTTCTGCTCTTTAAACTTGTGTATCCTGGGGCGCCTGGGTGGCGCAGTCAGTTAAGCGTCCGACTTCAGCCAGGTCACGATCTCGCCGTCCGTGAGTTCGAGCCCCACGTCAGGCTCTGGGCTGATGGCTCAGAGCCTGGAGCCTGTTTCCGATTCTGTGTCTCCCTCTCTCTCTGCCCCTCCCCCGTTCATGCTCTGTCTCTCTCTGTCCCAAAAATAAATAAACGTTGAAAAAAAAAAAATTTAAACTTGTGTATCCTAATAGATTAGACTAAGGTCTGTGCTATAACTTTACAGGGGGATTTTAAAAGATAACTAGCCATGTTTTTGCTATTTTCTGCCCAAAATATCTGGCTTGAGATGAGTTGAAAAATTTCCGTCCAACTCATTGTTGGGGTCATCTACAAAATTAGGGTTCTCAAAATACATCAGGCAGCTGTACTCTAAATAACATTTGCAATGTGGTTGGTGTAGAGGCTATAATTCTTTGTGAACCAGGTTCATTCATATATAATTTGATTTGCTATTAAAAGATGACAGTGCTGACAGTCTTAATTACAATGTATATAATTAAAGCCTAAAATGTAAGAGCAGGACCACATATTAAGCAAAAATGCAGAAGCCACTATTTTTCCTGAATGAAGCCTCTTGAGTGTCAGACAGGATAGTAAGGCCTTATGCACATTTTCCCAAATGGTATATCTGTGATTATCTTCATGTTTTTAACGTTGTTGTAAACTGCTTTCTCATTGCTTATAAAGTGTCCTTTGCAAGTGGGGCTAAGAGTAGGGCTAAACTGAGCCTTAGTGGAACAGAGATTATGAAAGTGAGAGGGGATACAACGCTTTTGAGACTAAATTAACTTATCGTGTGTTTTTTCTACTAACTTTGGTTGTTACTGAATAATCCACTTTGTGCTTTTACATTTGGCCTTTTCAGTTGAACTTCCTTTCTCTCCCCCAATCCTCTAGGCATCATTTGGATACACATTTATAGGATGTTTTAAGATTTGTGCAATCCTTAAGGGGATTGTAGGTGTATTTAATTGTATTTTGCCTTTTATGGGTCATTGAGAACATTTACTGTGATAAATGTTGATTTGGTTGTTATCTTTCTTAACATGAATGAGGCAGAAATTATGTTTTGCTCAATAAGGACCGGGAGAAAAGATCCATTTGTCTGATTTTCATGAACAGTGCAGTACCCTATGAGCAAATATCATGAATGAATAAAACCAAAGGAGGGAAGAAGGTGTGGTTTTGTAATATGAGAGAAGCTATATAAACAAAAATGGATTCAATTGGAAAAATTTAGGATCTAAGATGCCTGTTGGATTGGAAGAAGGACATTTAAAATGAGCTGAGGGGTGCCTGGGTGGCTCAGTTGGTTAAGTGTCTGACTCTTGGTTTTGGCTCCGGTCGTGACCTCTTCGTTCATAGGCTAGAGCCCCACATTGGGCTCTGTGCTGACAGCGCAGAGCTTGCTGGGTCTCTCTTCCTCTCTCTCTGCTCCTTCCCCCAAAAATAAATAAACTTTTTTAAAAAGTAAAAAATTAATTAATTAATTAATTAATTAATTAAAGGAGCTGGGGTGCCTGGGTGGCCCATTCAGTTAAGTGTCTGACTCTTGGTTTTGGCTCAGGTCATGATCTCATGGTTTTGTGGGTTCGAGCCCTACATAGGGCTCTAAGCTGACAGAGTGGAGCCTGCTTGGGATTCTCTGTCTCCCTCTCTCTCTACCCCTCCCTGACTTGCACTGTCTCTGTCTCTCTCAAAATCAACTTAAAAAAATTAAAAAGTATATAAATAAAACATATAAAAGGAGCTGAAGAAGATGTGAAAAAACATTTAGGTGAAATGGAATGTCTGAAAACACAGTGTTTCTATAATTTATATTAAAAAGATATTGAGGGGCGCCTGGGTGGCTAAGTTGATTAAGCAGTCGACTTTGGCTCAGGTCGATCTCGCGGTCTGTGAGTTCGAGCCCCGCATCAGGCTCTGTGCTGACAGCTCGGAGCCTGGAGCCTGTTTCAGATTCTGTGTCTCCTTCTCTCTGCCCTCCCCCATTCATGCTCTGTCTCTGTCTCAAAAATAAATAAACGTTAAAAAAATTAAAAAAATAAAAGATATTGAAAGAAATTAAGATATCAGTGTTATTATGTGAGTTGACAAGTGGCTGACAGGCAGCCTGATTCCAGTGTAGAAGTTCTCACAGAGGGAAGGGGACCAGGGCCAGGGGACATGTAAAGGTATATTCTACCACCTCGTGTAAGGTCAATGACTACATCCCTTCCTCCTTCCAATAAAGGTTATCTCAACAACTCCCTCCTTTAAGACTTGTCATTTCTTGGGGGGCCTGGGTGGCTCACTCGGTTAAACTTCTGACTTGGGCTCAAGTCATGATGTTGCGATTCGGGAGTTCGAACTCCATGTCATGAGTGCAGAGCCCGCTTGGGATTCTCTCTCTCTCTCCCTCTCTCTTTCTTCCCCTCCCCCACTTGTGCATGCTCTCTTTCTCTCAAAAAAAATAAATAAACTTAAAAAAAGAAGACTTGTCACTTCTTACCATCACTTAGAAACTTAGGTATATTACTGTATGAGATCTTATATTCTGATATTGGCTTTAGTGCCTGTCTGATTTTGTCCCATTCTTCACTATTTTTTTTGCCCACTTTGAGTAAAATCTCTTCTTGACCTCTGACTTTCCTTTGGCTGTAATTATATTCTTCCCTTTAAGATTTTCCTTAAAAAATCCTTCTTTGTCTTCAGGGTTTTACCAGATTATTTTGAAGTAAAAGGTAGGCTTTCTAGCCATTTCTAAAATATGATGTTATATTTATGAGAAGGATGGGAATAAGTTCCAGAAGTATCATGATTAGAATCTTAAGGGTTATTAACAGTTCTGAGTCATAAAGTGATGTTACTTTATAAGGTTAAGGATTGTGTTAACTTGAGTTAGTGTAGGAAAAGTTGATGCCATGTGCACGAGGGTACGAAATATATTTTTCTAGCTCTTGAAAATATATTTTAGGACCATTTTTATACTTTCAAGTTTGAAATAATAATGCTACTTTTAAACATATTTTAATCATTCAAATAATTTATAAATTAAAAAGTAGAAATTTACGGACTGGAAGCAAAATGATGGTTGTTTTGGCAACCATCCAGGATGAGGAATAATGAACAATGTAGTAATGTTTGGGTGATGTCTTCTGGTATTTAACTGCCCATGGTGAAGGTAGTATAAAGTTGTTCTGTCAGTTTCAGAGCCACTAGGACCTCTGGATGGAAATGAAAGGGAGGCAAATTATTCATCCTCAGAAATGTTTTCACAATTAGAAGTTTCTAATAGAAGGAGCCATCTCTTCCTGAAGAGGAAGGCTTTCCAGTCTTTGAGGTTTCAGGCAGAGGCACATGGCTGTCACCCGTGTAAGGCATAGATCATGTGAGGCATAGATGAGTTTCCTCACTGGCTGAGGTAAGAAGAAGCATTCTCTGGAATCCCTACCAACTCTATGATTATACTGTAAATGTTAAATGGGTGTATTTGTTGCGTATGTGTCTTTTTTTTTTTAATCTGGCATAAATTCTGAGGAAGAAAATGAACACGTCAAATATCTACTTCTATTCTTGAAACAGATTGTAGATATGTATCTTGACTTGTCTATAGTGGCAGTCTTCATACTGGAGTTTAATATATGCTATTTTCTACCTTCACTTTCCCTCCACTTTTTCCTTTGCTTCCATTCCCTTCTCCTTCCCACCATCCCCTTCCTTTGCCTTCCTTTTCTCCCCCTCTCCTTCTCATACCTTCCCTCCCTTTACTCTATCAGTGCCCCGCTCTCCCTTCCTGTCCTCCCTTTACTCTATCAGTGTCCCTCTCTCCCTTCCTGTCCTCCTGCATCTTTCCTTCTTGTTAAAATTTCCCATCACGGAACATCCTTTTGAGCCCAAATTGAACAGAAGAGAAACTGTACTTCCCCTGCCATCTCCCCATGTTCTTCTCATTATCCAGACAAGTTTCAAATGGCCACTGGCCTGGAAGGTGTTACGTCGCATAATCAAACTGGTTTTCTGGCACCTCTACCTCCAAATGATGGGTAGTGGTTGTGTAAGGCCAGCATTTGTCACACTGGCAAAGCTGCTTGTCTCGTGCCTATTAAACACATGCTGACTTGAGATGCCAAGGACTTTACTGGAACTGTAATGTCACATGTGGATGCTGTGAGTCCCTGTGGAAAGCGGGGAAGGAATTGAGAATAAAGCTATCTGATGTTGTGAATTTTGATCCATGAGTCTAATAAAATAAAAGACTTACAAATGTATTGCTTCTAAAAAAAAAAAAAAAAAAAAAAAAAAAAAAAAAAAAAAGGCCTCTATCTTACTCCCCAGAGTCCAAATGTATAATTGCTACCAGGTAAGTTTATCTTACTATTCTGAATATACCTAGAAATAAGTAATTATGGTGATAATTAGAATCCCAATAATTTCAGTTTTTTAAATTAAGCTCAGTAGCATGCAGTACTCTACAGTGTATTGCTGAATTAAGCACTGTCACTTTGCAATGATTAAGGTCACAAATCTATAAAATATTATTGGGTTATCATCACTTCTTATCATCAATTTATTACTTGTAATGTCACATTTGTTTCCATTCACATTTTATTTGTAGAAAGGAGAATCATAATTTTCAGATAACAGGCATTTGGAATGTCTTACCTTTATTTTATTTTTAAGGAGAGGAATTTGTATTACTTATCTATGTATACAGTTATTCTGAGACCAGGAAATGACTTGACTAACAAGTTTATTATTATGTTACTTTTTTAGGTGAAGATCCTGAAACAAGAAGAATGAGAACAGTTAAAAATATAGCAGACTTGAGGCAAAATTTAGAGGAGACTATGTCCAGTCTTCGTGGGACCCAGATAAGCCACAGGTTTTTTTTTTTTTTGTTTTTTTGTTTGTTTGTTTTTTCTCAGTTCTACATTTCTTTGGGCCAATAAAGACAAATGACAACTGAGCACTAACTTATTATAATGATAAAGAATTTAATTTTCCTTAACTGTTTTCTCACTTAAATTTTACATGACATTCAACTGGTGACTTCTTAGCACAAACCCAGGGACTTTTTTTCTCCTATCCGTCTCGTCTTTAATAGAGTGTCCCATTCAAACTGAATTAGCTACTGAAATTGCCACCATCACTACTAAGTAGATTCGCATACCTGTGCCACAGAACGCGATGGACGTTGCAGTTGAAATGCATCTGGCAGGGGGGAGGGGAGGGGAGAGAGACTTTCTAGAATAATTTTGGTCAACTTCCAGAATCGTTCTGAGAAGCTGTAAGGGGTTCGGTTCAGGGTTTGTTGAAAGTGTGAAACAAAAATTTGCTTTATCTAAACTGTGATGATGGCCTTTCTTTTGAACGCACGAAAGTAAAACAAACAAACTTCAGAATGCCCCTCCCACATTTTGACCTCTGCAGAGGTGTCTTGCATCTCATAAGAATGCCGAGATAACGTCTCACGATGAGTGCATCATTTGGCTTGCGTGAAAATGGCATGCTTCTAAGAAACTCTAGCCTTTCCAGTCCTCATGTAGTGCATTCTCGGTCTATGACCCCAAGTGAATCAGAGTATAGTGACTTCTTCGCTTTGTTGACAGCACCCTGGAGACAACATTTGACAGCACTGTGACAACAGAAGTGAACGGAAGGACCATACCCAACTTGACAAGCCGCCCCACTCCCATGACCTGGAGGTTGGGTCAGGCGTGTCCTCGACTTCAGGCTGGGGATGCCCCTTCCCTGGGGGCTGGCTACCCTCGCAGTGGTACCAGCCGACTTATCCACACAGACCCTTCGAGATTCATGTACACAACACCTCTCCGTCGAGCAGCTGTGTCTCGACTGGGAAACCTATCACAGATGGACATGAGTGAGAAAGCAAGCAGTGACCTGGACATGTCTTCTGAAGTTGACGTTGGTGGATACATGAGTGACGGTGATATCCTTGGGAAAAGTCTCAGAGCTGATGACATCAACAGTGGGTAAGTGGCCCTGGGCTCTACCAGCATTATGCAAACAGGGAGGGTGGTCTCCTAAGATGCATTAGCTATAGGAAGGGTATATAGGTGAGCTTACAAAGTCATTAGAAAACATAATAAATCAAAGGTTATTTGGAGGTATATCAGGCCCTCTCGTCTGCTCATTCCTGAAAAGTAAAATATCTAAAATTTCTATAAAATCTTTTCATTGTGAGCCATTAAATTTTTCTATTGTTAGTTTAGAGAAACAAATGTGCCCTGGGCTTTTCAGAGTGATTTTCACATGCTTCTTAAGTAACAGATTTTGTAGTGAAAGACGTGGGAAGGGGACAGGAGGAGTTTTGCTGAGCTGCTGCAATTTTTTTTTTGTTTTAATTTGGCTTATCAAAGCTGCCTATAACTGCTTGGAGGAACAAATATTTTCTAGCATTCTTCAGTTATGTACCTCAAATTGAAAGCTTCAATCTCTTTTGATGATATTTTTTTTTAAATCTTAGCCTTTGTTGTTGTTGTTGTTGTTTTTCTGTTTCCTATCATATTCCCAAAAAACACTGTTGTGATTATAAAACTTTTAAAGATTTTGGCAGTTTGGAATATTTAGTTCAATCTGAGGATGAACAAAGGCAATAGGAAACTCTATTAAAACTGCTTCTGTTAATTGTAATTCCCTACAGACAAGAAAACTGGTCTGAGCTGGCCACAATTGTGTAATGCTGAAGAAAGGCTGGACTTGCATTAGAACTCAGATATATCTGACTTCAAAACCTAGGGTCTGTGATATAACAAAAAGCTTCCCAATCAATTTTGTCATTTTCATGGGAGTCTGGGTTTTGACTTATTCTTTGTCCTTAGACATCTGAGAGGACCAGTAACGGAAATCATTCTCCTGTATGAGTAACCCTGACTTCATTCATGAAAGGAAAGGAAAGGAAAGGAAAGGAAAGGAAAGGAAAGGAAAGGAAAGGAAAGGAAAGGAAAGGAAAGGAAAGAAAAAAGAAGAGAAAAGAAAAGAAAAGAAAAAAGAAAATCTTATTTGAAAGGTGACAAGACCTTAAAATAATTCAGACAAGCTTTAGATCAGATTTATAGCTCTGCTCTGTATCCAGTGTTTCCTTGTGACCACCTTACGTGGTGGCTAAATTCCAACAATTTAGAATTAGGGAGACGGATGGTGGTCAGTTAGGGTAGGAAATAGTTGAGTTGCCACTGGAGTCAGAGTGCAATTTAAATTCCTTTTGACCATAGCTATCTGTGGACCGCTTGGGGCCTTAAGTTATCCAAACTCCTTTTTGTTATCTGTAATAAGGATAAAATGGCAGAATCTCTCCAAAACCATTAGGAATCGAGGAAATAATCTACAAAATTGTACTTCCACAAAGCCTGTCACAGTATGAGTGTTGAATAAATGTGTCACTATCATAATTCCATTTATTATCATTCACACTCATACTGATTTATGGATGCTATTGTTATCATTTTTGTACGTGTTAGATGCCACCAGTGTAGGGAGCATGGTGGCAATGCAGGAACATCTAAGGCATGAACTTTTTCTCCCATCTCTCTCCTTTCTCACCCATTCTTTCCACTCTCCCTCCTATATCCTCTTTTTTCTTTCTTTGTCTCTTTAAATGAGAGCATATGTGTGTATTCATTTTTTATATTTACTACTGGATGAAGATTTAATTATACACATAAATATCATATCTATACACACATGTATATGCATATTTATATATACAGAGACACACATACATATATGTGTATATATATAATATACAGACACATACACACACAAGCTGTCAATCTCATTATTTACAGTAGTTACATTCTATAAAATCACTACATACACTGAATTAGTGAACACTGAACCATTGCTCCTAGGGGAAATACAGATATAGTTCCTGTGATCTTTTGGTCATAATAGTTTCATCAAACCATCAGAATATAGTCTTGTTGTATGTGTATTTCAATTTAAAGCGAGCTTATTTATTAGTACATATTGGGGATACATATTGTAGATTCATTATTGTAGATATTATTAATACATATTGTACTGTTAATACATATTGTAGATACATTAACATTGAGCTCATGCCTAAAAGCAGTATAATCCATGCCTGCATGAAGCTCATCTAACACATATTTTTCCATAAGGCACATCGCAGCCTTCCTACACTTGGGAACACAAGGGCACTTCAGCACTACACTTGGGGGACATCTTAACACCAGAATCTCAAACAGGAAGCACAAAAATGTGAAAAATGTGGCTCTAAATAGACTAAAGAGGACACATTGGCAGTAGGAGAGCTGAATCAAGAAGGCAGAATATCACCTTATTTGACCTCAGCCTGGAATGTCCTCATGAGCAACTTAAATTTCTCTCTGTTCTGTGCCTGTCCGTGAGTGACCATGAATATGTTGCAATTATTGATTTGGGGCTTCAAATTTTAGCCAGTAAGCAAATTTGCAAATGTGGTATTATGAATAATGAGGATTGATTATATTTACTTATAAACAAGTAAAATGTTTATCTGGAGAGGGAAAGCATATCTTGGGAGCAGTTTAAACCAGAAATCAATGGACATTGAAAATGTAACATGTGAGTCATTTCAAAGGTCTTGTGCAGAAAAAAAAACTGAGGTAAGAGTTCAGAGTAGGGAGAAAGTGCTAAATACAGGCATGAAATAGAAAGGAGGGAATAAGAAAAGGAAATAGTTTAGTTATAGTCTCTGATTTATTTTTTTTTATTTTTTATTTTAGAAAAAAGACAGAGCAAAGAAGGCACAGAGAGAGAGAGAGAGAGAGAGAATCCCAAGCAAGCTCTAAGCTCAGCTGGAGCCCAAGGCAGGACTCTATCCCATGATCCTGGGATAATGATCCAAGCCAAAACCAAGACTCTGATGCTTAAACCACTGAGCCATGCAAGTGCCCCTACATTCTGTCACTGAAATAGCTATGGGGGTGCCTGGTTCTGTTGGTTGAGCACCCAACTCTTGATTTGGGCTCAGGTTATGATCCCAGAGTCATGGGGTCCCTCCCCACTCTCCCTTGTGTACTCTGTCTCTCTTTCTAAAAAATAAAAATAAACAAATAAATATCTAAAGAGGAGGGAAATGTAATAAGAGCATGTTTGTAAGAAAAGTATAAATATTGTAGAAAGAATGTCATTTGATAAGCTTCACTAAAAAAATAATTTTCAAAGTCACAGGGACACTTGGATTGGATGATATTCACTGACCTTTTCCCCAACTGAGATTCATGGAATCTGAGTACTTAATTTTGAGAGATGGGGACTATCGTGACCAGACCTCAATAACATTATGCTAAAAAGTTTACACAGTGTACTCTAAACAATTGAAAGCAGATTATCGAATAGTCACAGAATAAGATATGATGATGATTTTTGAAAACCCCCTTTAGGGTAAATCTGCAAAATGGATTGAGGGGAGCAGCTCTGATGGCAGGTTTCAGACATTACTGCAAAAGTCCACGTCCAAGTTTTGTAGTCCAGAAACATGACAGTGGCCTTGACAGGGGTGAAAGAAGGAAAGAATTTGAATGGGAGGTACCAGAGAGGAGAAATGTACAGAATTAATGATAGGCTACTCATGAGGGCTTCAGAGAGGCAGAAAATTCAGATACGATGCCCATTTCGTAAGCACAGGAGGTAGGAAACTATACCTTTAGAGAAAATAGGCAGACAGAGAGAAATGATTTTTATTTTTGAGAAAGCAGAGAGGAGATGCTGAGTGTAGAGTTTCCAATGTAGAGTTGGAGACAGTGTGGTATAAAAGTTTGTTGTTGAAAATGCAGAAGTAGTTTTCGGGGTAGAGCTACGATGGAGAGTGTGGTCTCAGAGAAGACAGTAGAACTTGTGGGCATGAGGACTCCTGGGGAAAGAATGGAGAGACAGAAGAGGGATCTTCAGCTGAAGTAAATACGGGTGTATGTATCCAAAAAATATGTCTAAGTTCATCCTATGTGCCAAGCAGCATTTTGCGACCGTGTGTGCAGTGGTGAGCAATAGAGACACAGCGCCATGTGACTTACATGCGGCCTTTTTTGTTTGTTTGTTTGTTTGTTTGTTTTTTAGTTATCGTCAGGTTAGCTAACATACAGCGTATACAGTGTGCTCTTGGTTTCGGGGGTAGATTCCTGTGATTCATCGCTTACATATAACAACCAGTGCTCCTCCCAACAAGTGCCCCCCTCAATGCCCATCACCCATTTTCCCTCCCCC